CTCGCAATCCTTCGTCGCAGATCGCAGTAATTTCAGTTAACGATCAATCGCGAGTCTTGAATTCCTGATATTCTTTTCGCGCGACCATTAATGTCACGTAACGTACATCTACCCGGCATTGATAGCGGGGGTGGTAGGGCGGAGTGCGCCAGCGGGAGAGGGAGTTCGGTCGGCGGACGAGAGATGCATCGCGGATGGAAAGAGCGAGAGAAAGAGACGGAGGGAGGGTAGGTGCGAGAGGTGGAGGCTCAGAGAGGAGGAGAGAGATCGGAGGGAGGATTGGATGGGACGTGCAGGTTCGCCAATATACAAAGGGGAGCCCGGAGATTACGATCTTCCATTCGTTCGCTCGTTCCAATTATTTTGTCCAATTAAAATATCGATTTTCTCCCCCATCGCCGCGACTCTCGCGGGCTCGCCTTTTGCAGTGTCGCTCGCTCGCAACCTCCCCCTCTCTCTCCCCTTTTCCACCCACGCCACCCTCCATACGGTAGCATCGACCGTGCCCAACCCCGTGATTCTTCCCTCTCTCATCTCCCCCCGACCGGCCTGTTATACATCCTTCCTCTCCATCGCTCGCCGTTCTGTCTCTCCCTCGCCGTTTCTTTCTCTCTTTCTCTCCCTCTCGGCCCCTGGCTTTCTCGCCTCTTTCCGTCTTTCTCTCTTCTTCCCTTTCTCCTTCCCTGTCTGTCTCCACCTACGCCATTCCGGCTCCAATATTCAATTATTGAGTACGCGAGCGCTCGCGGACCGCTCGCAAAAAGCGGGAAACGAAGTCGCTTACGGTTTCTGCGTGCACACAAACGGGCGCGTGTTTCACTGCCCTCCTGCGACCGCCGTCTGACTGCGCGACCGAGAGGAGAGACGGAGAGAGAGAGAGAGAGAAAAAGAGAGGGTGAGTCGGGCGGGGCGGGAGGGTGAGACGGCGCGCTTCCTGGCAGAAATCTGAAACAAACGAGCAGCGTTCCGTCCGTCGTGGCTTTCCGTGCAAATGCGATCGTACAGCGGGTTCGCGGAATGGGCACGGTACTCGCTGTGACACGCAATGCTTCAAAGAGCCCAATCGAGTCGGAGGTACTTAAATTGAAACGCGACAAGCGCGGAGTGCACGCCCGCGAGCAACGAACTCGCGGGATTACGAGATGCAATCTTTCCACTCGATACTGAAATCTACGAGGAACGATCGTTAAATGAGAATGGCTTGCGATGCATTCATCAAAAACGAGCTTTTTCCGCTCCAATAACCGCACGTAACGTTTTTCATAAAAATGAATAACATGGATTAATAAAACATTGCAGAATATGTAGAAGAATATTTCCAATAGTTTTTGATACAAAATATTTGTGTTACTTGATTCTTCCGCGGTTCAGACTTGGCAAAAAAGTTTCATATATAAATTTGTCGAATATTTCATCGTGATAGTCTCAAATGTTACGTTCCCTAAGCGCCAGGGAACGTAAGGACATATCCGCCAGACTTCACCAATTTTCTTAAATCCACACACATCTCATGACTACAGATTTTTTGCGGCTCGCTCGGTATACATCATCGTGTTATAAGTGGCGCATCAACGGCAAAAAGCGCAAGAGCACGCTCCCATGACCAGATTCCTTTTTTTCCCGAAAAGAAATTAACCCTCTAAACGGCTATTAGAGCCGAGCGGCAAGCGTGCGCGTTCTCTCTGAGAATAGACGATCTAATTCCGTGGACGAGAGGAAGCGAGGAACCGAGTTGATGGAGCGGGGCAAAGCGAGGAAGACGGACCACCGTGATTGCAATTTTAACGCCAATTTGACTTGAATCTTCTCCGCCCGAAAGAAATACTGTTTTCATGCTCAATATAGCGGCTCGCTAATAATTAACGGCCAGCTCGTGGCACCTTACAGAGACACGTACAGGGTGTCTCGATGTCACTGTGGCAGTTGAAAATTGTCCAATTTCTCATCTATTCGTATTTTTGAACGTTACTAATTAGCATAAAATCAAAATATGCATTTGCATATATTATATTTACGTTATCCTTAAACTAAATTTACCCTTATGTTAATCTATTCTAAAAATAATTACACTAACGAATAAAAAGTGATCAATTTTACACCGAAAGTTGCATTAATTGAATATCTTAATAAAATGTACTGTGTAGCAAATTGGTATATAAATAGATTCTTCGTTCCTCTAATTGTAAGAGGAGTTTGCTTTTTCTATAAATTATACTGCTTTAAAAGTAACACACTTGGCTAACAATTCGCATTAATGTATAAAAAAGTTGGTTCAGTGTATTACGCTAAATAAATTCTACAAATTGCTACGGAGATTATCATCTCTAAAAAAAACTTGCCAACTTCAATAATCGTATCAGTGCCGTATACATAGAAGTTAGTTGCAGAAAATAGCGAATGTCCAAGCGAAACTCTGCGATACACCGAGTACGTGTACGGAGTAGGTCTTACGGTGCTAGCGGGTGGTCCTCATTATGTCGGGTTCCCCACTGCTTACCCGTCCTATCTATTTAACGTATCGTTTGCCTTGGTAACCATCCAAATTAGCTCATCCTTCTCTATCCCGCGGCACCGGCATCACCCGATCTCACTTGTGTCCTCCTTAATTATTGGGAGGACGATGTTTAATAATGACGATCGGGCGCATGCCGTCACGGTGTGCCCTAATCGAAAACACTCGTTTCCTGCGGAAGGTTACGTCGTATCTTACGGAATGCCAAACGAAACGGAAGTTGATTTATTTGGGAAAATGTTAACAGGAAGTCGCGTTTATTAACGGTGCTTCTCGCGCAAATTATTTTCCAACAAAATTAAATTTCGACAAGTTCAATTTTATTTTACCATCGAAAATTGTTTCAGGCAAATATGCATTTGAAAATTCCGATATCTTAGAAATATATATTCCGGCGGAGATTAATTTTCAAGAAGTCAGTCAGCAAAAAGAAGGAGTTACGACTCCGCCAATCGGACACGTGAATTTATCTTGGAAGGAAAGCGGGATAGATATGCTCACGGAAGCGAATTTAAAAGTCAATGGCCTGTAAACATTAATGCTTTGAGTAACGAAAGATAGCAAAGTGCTTTGTTACGGGGGTTTATGAGCCTCTTTATTGCCATCGCGATTTCTTCTCGATTGCAGCTAAACGTAATATCGCACTGTTGCTAGTCGACTGATTTAGCTGCGGGAGAAGTTAACCGACAGTCGAAACGTCTTCGCTCCGTTATATACGACACGAGTCCGAGATGATATGGATCGTCGAAGCGCAATTTCTCAGAAAAGCAGTTGGCGTGGAAAGGCCAACTTAACAATGTATATCTATTTCAGCTCTGAATATGAAGAGGCTTATTGGACATCGTGAAACATTCTCAGCGCTAATTGATCTCCGAAAAACAGTCGTGCATTTGTTTCGTGTAGCAAATGTGTCTACCATAAATATTTATTAGCCATTAATGAATCTTAATCTATTCGGAGATCTCGTAAAGCGCAAAAATAGACGCGCATTGTTGATCGTCTCGATATTCTTGTCTAACAAAGATTGCGATACGTGTAATGTAATATGTGCGATATAAACTCGCTTGCGCGCTGGTGCGCGATACGTTTTTGGGGGGTTCGACATCGATTCTGATAAAGCGGCGAAAATAGACGCCGCGCGGATTTCCGCGCGATGAAATTTACGGCTCCAGCCAATTCCGTGAAAATGGAAGAACGTCCGCGAGGTTTTATTCGGCGGTGCAATGCTTTATCGGCACCCCCTATCGGGACTCATTTGTTTTTGCTTATCGCAAAGTTACATGACGGAGTCACCGTAAATATGACGGACGGGTGCGCGACGATGGAATCTCCGCGCGCCGTCAGAACAAACGAGCCCCACGGACGAACCCCGAAAATCTCCCGACACGCCGCGACGGCTCGATTTAGGGGCTGAACGTCGAGAGGGAAGTCTCGAGACTGAGAGGGGTTGACGTTCGACGCCGAATCGATATACCTACCTGCCTGCGTGCGCGAACAAGCCGTATCTATCTCCGGACACAACCGGGAAGAAATGTGGCCAAAATTTCAGAACTCTTAAATTTTCGCTCGTCATATGTTCATTGTGATTGCGATTTGTAATGCTTTCACTCATAATTTGTACTTATTGTCATCTCTCAATTACTTGCTAAAATTGTCCTATCAATATTATTCGAGATAATATATATGAAATCACGCATAATAATATATTATAAGCAATAAAACACTGTGTATAATACCACATAAATGTTTCACAACTTCTTCGGCAAATTTAGATTCATGAATTAAATTTCATATAAATTTAAATGTGTCAAATTAAAAATTAAGAATTAAATTTTTGTTTAAATAAAATCTATTGATTTAAACCAAATTGTCTCTTCTTTTGTAATTTGTAAATTCGGCAAATTTCAATTTTATTTTCACAACCAAAACTCTCGTGAATTTCAGTAAAGAGAAAATTAATTTTATATCTGTCACTAAAACAGTATAACATGTAGAAATATATTTAAATGCTTCCAGCGATATATCTCCGACTACTTCAAATATTATCTCCCTCTCTCTTTTATCAGCGTCATTTAATACGCAGCGACAATTGAAAACTATCTCATCCGCACTCTTAATTTTTTTTCAATCTTAATCACCCCGCCTAATTGCTCAATTGCGCTCATTACCGTCTCCGACGTAGTAAAGCGAGTGGCGATTAAATCTCTCCTTCCTCGTCGCCTCCCTCTTTTCCGACGCTCCCGCTCCGTGACGGCGCGTCGCATTTGCACGAGAGAAACTTATCCCTCGATGCAAAAATCGCTATATAGATAATTCCGCCTGCTCCCCGGGTCTCAGTCGACGGGGGCGGAGCGTCGCGAGGAATGCCTCCGTTGGCAATTGCCAGCCTCGCCCCGTTCTGATCCTCTCCTTCTCGCTCTGTCGTCCGGATTCCCCACTTCCACGGGAGATCTCGCTTCCACCGACGAGGCGTGCGGCCCCACCACCAACATGCAGCCGAGGGTAAAAGGAAAAATCAGGGCGGTGCTGACCGAACGATCAAACTCAGTCCACACGGAGAGCTCGGCTTGGCTGGAGGCTTGGCAGAGTTGCTGGTCAGCGATCATTGATCCACGAGAGCTGTCAAACGTCGGACTACGTCCTTGGCGTGACGTCGTCGATGTGCCTCGCGCGCGTCATCTTTCGAAACTACCTGCTGGATTCGAGCGAATTCCGGAGTCCCGTTCGCGGAGGATCATGCGCGAGTCATTGGTGAAGCAGTGAATTACGTCGGTGCTTTCGATCTGTTGCGAAGCAAGCTCTTGTTTCGAGTCGAGATACATTGGAACATTGGAACATTGTTGTTGCGGATACAAGAGCAGTGACAGTCGACACGGACCGTGTCCGATCGACAATCCGAGAATGACAGTGATAAGGATGACCTCGCCGGTGACGCCAGCATCGACCAGCCCGGACTCGCCAGACGAAGCACAGGCGCTGCAGGCAACCTCCAAACAGGCTCATCGATTAAGCTTCTCCGTCGCGGCTCTGCTCGCGGACACCAGGAAGACGTCGGAGTCCTCGCCGAGGCAGGACGCGCTGCTAACATCGGCCAGGTCGTCGCCGGTTGTCTCGTACTCGCAGGAAGCGCGTATCACCGTGAGTTCGTCGTTACAGAAGTATCCCTGCGACTTGAAAACAACGAGATATCTTTCGTCGTCGCCGAACCTGCATCAGGAAATCCGACTGCTACATTGCGTCTCTCCTCACAACGCTTCGGACTCCAGAACGCCACCGAGGTATCCGGAAGCGATCGATTTCGCTTGCAGCATCGAGTCGCCGGGCAGACGATCGAGCTGCGGAAGCGTGGACTATCGCGTGCATTCGTCCGCCGACAGTAGAATCACACCGGAACCGGCGGTAGGCTGCTCCACGTCGCCGAAGATCATCGGTGGCCATCAGGACGCCGGTTCGCAATCGCCTAGAAGTAGCTCGCACGAGACGCGCTCGCGATGTTCGGAAACGGACGACGTCGAGGAAGACGACGAGAGCAGACTGGTGGACGTCGAGGATCTTCAGCATCACGCGTCCAGTCCGACGCCGGTCAGGCCGACCCCGGCTTACCTCGGCGGTTTCTCTACCCTTGGAGGCATCCCTGGGATACCGCCTAGCCTTCACCCCGCAGTCTGGGGCGGCGGGCATCAGAACGCGGCCGCAGCTGCCGCGGCCGCTGCAGCCGCCGCGGCCACCGCTACATTTTTCCCTTCTCACTTCCCTCATCACGCCCCTCTGAATGGTAAGTGTCAATCTTTTTTCTCAACAATATATCAATCTTTTTTTCATTTTTATTTTTTAGAAATCTCTCTGTTTTAAACGTCGATTATTTACTTTGGTGTCTTAATTCGATGACACGATGAGATGAGATTTCGGGACAATGCGTCTTCTAAATAGATCTGTTAATTCTAGATCATTCTAGTGTTAATTTCATTTCGAGCTATTTGGCGGTGCGACTGTGTTTGGAATAGTCTTTGAACTTTGGCGCAGTGCCAATCGCCCCTGTGTTTCTCGGCGGATTCTTTTCATGGTTCATTGCGGCTAAAGCGATTACGCGGTTACAGACGCGGTTTACGGATGGTGATTTCTCGCGGCTATATAGAATCCGAACAACTTTACTCCTTATCGATACGTAATATCGTACGTGATGATATTCTGAAAACATAAGTTTAGCAAACGGATATCTCACGGTAATAGTCGGACAAGCGTATCGTCTGTTTACAGTTGTACGACTCAATAGTTTCACTGTTTCATACAATTGAATAATTCTCCACAAGCTTCAGAGCCAGAAATCTAATTTCAACGTTTCATTTTAACGTGTAATTATGTTAAATTTAACGTAATTAGCACTAACAGACACAGTGTATCCTTTAACTACGACTGCAAATAAATTATATTATATAGCACCTCCGGTGTTAATTGGCTAAACGATTCACGCATTACAAAAGACGATCGTCGAAGAAGCAGTACATGTGCGTCGTCATTTCGCCTCGTCAAAGAGGGCGCAAGAATAAATTTAACTACATTTCGCTCGCGGATTCTCTAACGAAACAATAGGTGATTATCGCAGGAAGATGTCTCGAGACAAATCGAGCAATCGACGGGCGAAAATTGATTCTCTAATGGCCTCTTCGGTCGCTGCTAAACGATAGCCTACCGTCGCTTGACCGAACCAAACAATTCTCCTCTATTCTCGCTTGATCAATGGCTGTCACGAAAGAGATTGTAATTCCCAGATAAAATATTTACCTAATATCGTTACGTAACAAAACCCGCTTGACGTTCTTCAAATATTTATTCATTTTTACTGTCAAACTTGATTAGCTGTTTTGTGTTTATATGTATAAATACTTTGTCAAGTCTTTTCAGACTTTTTTTAATATCGGAATTTTCAACTAGCAATCTCTACTTTTCATGCAATATCAACTGTGCAAATTTTGTCGATTCTTTATAATTGATTTGATTCGAACAGATTAATTCGTGTAATGACGACAGCAATTATGCATTTAAAAGCATCTAAAAATTAAAAGAGATAAAATGTACAATTAAAAATATTCCTTGTAGATATTTAATTAAATTAATATTTGTACACGTACTGATGATAAATATATGAGTGACAAAATTTAACCCAGAAATAGAGGATGTTCACTTGTGCTCTATTGCAGACATGAAAAATTCTCAAGACAAGATCTCGTGTGGAATATACGCGCCATACGGGCGAAATACCATAATTCTGAAATATGAACTCTCGTAAAGAGTACTTTCACAGATCGGCGCACCCCTTCAAAGTTTTACGCCACCGTTCTTTTGCCGTGATTATCTTAAATAAGTGATTTCAAACCATAAAAGAATTTACTGGAGATACAAGTCTCATAAAATACGGGTAATTCTATCTTTAAATTTTACACGAGATTATAAACAGTACATAAGTTTCTCGGGAACTTTTTTAATTTAATTTGAATATCGTTCGAACACACGAAAATGCGGTTGCGGTTTGTTCAAATTGATGCAAGAAACACTTAAGCTTTACATTTTTCAAATTATTGAAATATACTTTCTTTGTCTTCCTAAAATCAACATTCTTATCTTTTCACAAGTTATATTAAAAATTAATATCGCTAGCTTTATATAAATTATAAAGAATTTCAGCATAATATTAATACAATTTCTGATATCATAAAACATGATATCAAATTAATAATTCTTATTTGATATTCACTCTATTCATAAATATCCGAACCTAAAAAAACTTCTTTGAAGAAAAGATTTATTCTAATGATTAAGCGCGTCGAGAAATCAGGCACGATTGTATCGAGAGTTAGTCTTTTCGATCGTTATGCAACGCAACAAAGGCACTCGACTGTTCGATCGGTCCTTTCCAGTTTACACTCCGCTCGATGATCGTTGCATTCATGGAACACGCTATCTCGGCGAAATCAGCTAATTATTTCGAATTCACATTCCCGATCGATAGTCTCGGATTGAAATTGGCCTTCGCGTTTTTGGTGGCCCCGTGACGAGGAGAGATCACGGGATGCCGAGACTAATTGGAACCCTTAGCGAGCGGTGAGGAACGTATACAAAGGACAATTCCGAAGTAGAATCGAGCATGGCGCATACTACCGTGTTGTAAGTCCGGGTTGATGCGTAAAGAATCCTGGCGGAACGGGGAGAACAGGGCGAGGGGAGGTGAGCGAAGGGCGGTTTCCGACGAATTTGAAATTCAGAAACGGCAAGACGAGACGACGACGTGGCCTTTTGTCTCGTCGTGATCTCGGCTCGCTGTTTGGTACAGAAGCTGTTCACCTTCGCTCTACAAATCTGTCAATTGTCTCGGGACAAATCTCGAGGAATATAACCGATATATTCCGATACCGGGCTCCTTCCTGCCTTGCGGTGGCTCAACGCGTTCCTCTGATTATCTGAGCGCGATGCGGAGGCAATATTCTCCACTGCAATTCTAGATACACAAAGCATATACAGAGTGTAACCGGAAAATCTCTTCTTCTTTATCAGATTTAATTTGAATAACAAAACAATTATTTCGTATTTTATTACAAAGTAATTAAAAAAGTCACCAGTTATTAATCTTTTAATTGTATCTTTAAGTGTTTATAATTTGATCAAATATGTGAACGTTTTTCCAAAACGTAATAAAATTGATATTAATAAAAGTCTAGATTTATGCAAAAAATAATATATCTTGATTGAACATATGAGATCCCGCAATAACCACAACTAACAAAATAATGCCCCAATCATCGACAAAATGTATTCTCTAATATGCAATTAACCGACATCGCGGCGCGTCTTGTTCCAAACTGCGAGCAAAGAATGCCAAGCTCACCAACGACGCCTCGCCTCGCGCGAGCAGGCGTTACGATCGGCGCTCTTATGCGAGCGCGGTAGCCGCGGTACGGCCGTGTAGAAACAATTCGCGGCCGGAATTTTGCGGTCGACCGGCAAAAAAGTAATGAGGCCAGTTTGCGGCGCCGTTCCGACGGAAAAATTATGAATTGCACCCTAAAAAGACGCGTTTGCCCTCGCCGGGCTGTTCCGTCCGTTCGAGGCCGGCAAAAACGCGACATTGCGGTCTCGGTCCTCTCCCGCGTTGGCCTACCGATCCCGCGGAAGCACCTTCGCGGGAGGACTATATCTGTCCGTCAGTTTGTTCATACGAGCATAATGTTCGTCGCTGTTCCCGTGCACGACATGCGCTTCGACTGAGAACGTGTTCTTTTTTTCTTTTCCAGAGAACGGCGAGCCGGCCAAGATTAAGTGCAACCTGAGGAAGCACAAGCCTAACCGAAAGCCCAGAACGCCCTTCACGACCCAGCAGTTGTTGGCTCTCGAGAAGAAGTTCAGAGAGAGACAGTACTTGAGTGTCGCCGAGAGAGCCGAGTTCTCGTCGTCGTTACACCTCACGGAGACACAGGTAAAAATCGATTCCGTATAAAAAGTATTATTGCTCGAGAAAGATATAAAATCGATCAAGTATTAAACTTGATATCCAATTGTTTTCGACAGACTGCAGTTTATCGTGATGCGTAGCACAATTTTTAAGTCTGCATTTCTTAATAAAATATGGACAATAAAGATGACTTATTCATCATTGTTAAAGATAACTCTTGAATTTTTTTTACGACATAATTAGCACAGATGTTTCTCAGCTAATTAGCGAGACTAAACTACATATAAAATCCATTTAGCTTCTTTATTCTATAAGCGCCTTCGATCTAAAAATACTTTATCAAACCGGTGTCGGAAATATTTTATTATCGAGGACCGTAAATTCCTCGCTCGTTATGCAATCAAATTAACACATTAGAATCCAATCCGCCGCGGGGATCGTTACTTCCTCCAGGCGGCACGGCAACCGAATCCCAAACTGGCAAATCGGCAGTACGCTCTTCGCGTCTTTCGCCACTTTTATTTCTTCAGGGCCGGCTGCCATTCACGAGAGTCAAAACAGTCCGTGCGTGTCTCTCCGGGCTTAGTTATAGCTCCGGCGGCCGCTGCCAGATGTGCGGTAATTAACGCGCGTAAATACGCGCTACCCGGCAATACATGGCAAAGAGAGGACGGATAATTTTATTAATAGACTACAAATTGCCTGAAACGCGTTCCGCGATAGCACGAGATGACCGACCAATTATCTCCGGCTGAGATCCCGATTCTCTGGCAGCGATTTCCGAAGTGCATTTTCGCCCGCTTTCGCGCTCGCGAGCTAACGGCAAGCGCAAACTTTTGCTACGACGGCAATCGCTTACTCGATGAAGATAAACGTCGATAAAATTGTTACGAGAGGTAATGGTTTGTTTATACGCGTGGACGAGCCGTCACGGTATAGCGAATTATCACTTCCTTTCTTTGACATCATCGAGATGCGATTTCGAAAATAACGTTTAAATGAAATTTAATATATTTCTGTCCAGAATTTATTCTAAAAATTCCGATGTTAGATGCTCGATCTACGAATTTTAAGGAGTAAACAACTTAAAATTATATGGTGCTATAAAATTGACATAATTTATTCCCGCGTTTTAAATTAATGTCCGCGATATCCTGTGCTAATATATTTAATTGATACTAACAGCAAGATCAGTAAAGACATTATTATTGATAAATAATAATATCTCTGTGGTATATTTTTCAGACCCAAATTAATTCTGATTTTGAAACTAAATGCTTCGGCTGTTTTGCACAGAAACTTGTTTAAAATTATTTTTCCTGTTATTTAATTAATTTATATTCTTTCTATTCTATTTATATATTTATATTTCTTCTATCTCTATAATGTTACTTGCTTGCGTATAAATTTAAACTTGAAAGTTGCAATTACGTCATTATACTTTAAACGATTATTAAATCATGCCAGGAGCACTCGCGAATACGAGTAACCATATCGCACATCAGTCATCGCGTCAAGACTCATCATTCTAAATACGCCGCTAAATTCGTACTGATTTATTGTTGCAGGTGAAGATCTGGTTTCAGAATCGACGCGCCAAGGCGAAGCGTCTGCAAGAAGCGGAAATCGAGAAGCTGAGAATGTCAGCCGTGAGGCAGCATCATACGGCGCTCTACGGCTCGCATCCGGGAATCTTAACACCCGCGGGTCTTTATCCCGTAGGAATGCTGTCTCATCCCGGTTTGACATCTCATCACGCGATCACCCAGCATCGCGCGAGGGAATGAGAATAGCGCGATTCAATCGGTGCCGGTTGGAAACAGCTGGAAGAATCTGTCATCGAAGTCATATCTCTTGAGAAATAATTACAAATTTCAAAACTACGCGGAAAAATTGCCGCAACGCGGGGAAAAAAATTTTGTATTGATTGCTAATGAAATTGGCTTGAAAAAAATCTTGAAAAGAGAAATCTCGTCACCGACTTCACGTTTTCCAGTATTAGTTTAGAGAAAGAAGCGAAGGCTCGCGAGTCCATAAAAAAAACTTGCGCTCAAGTTTTATACTAATATCGATGACAACTATTTTGAGAATGTTGGAAGCTGTAAATAGATTGTAAATATTATATAACGCGTTAAACGCTTTGTATATATACACCTAATGAGCTATTTGAGAAATGGGGTTGCATTTGCATCGTTAAGTGCAAGTAATGAAACAAATAAATCAGGTATTTTAGAGAAGATTCTTTTTCCAATTTTGTATAAATGTAAAGCTAATGATGTACGACGAATGTACGATGATTAGAAGAGTTTATTTAATAAATTGTATTATCGTAATCAGCACATAATTTATTTCTCCTTCGAGCCTATAATGTTCCTTCCTTTCTTCTCAATCCAAAAAGTCAAATTGAATTAAAAATATTAAAATTAAGGAAATATGCTTCTACCTTGTTAGAATCGAATTAGAATTCTGTAATATAATTTGCATGAAATATTAAACTATCTAAAAACCAATTTATTAACTTTGACAACTTTGAGATCAATTTTTTTCCAAAGACAATTCTTTAATCTTATTCACGTTTTATATCAATTATTTTATCAACTTTTTAAAAATTCAATTTTAATAGCGTCCAAAAATAGCATCCACTAAATAAATTTGGCTAAATAAACTAATGTCGTCATTTCATAGTTTTTGAATATAATTTCTAAACAAATTTCACGAATTTCAACCAAAGTTCAATTACCTCCGATATTAAATAATTCTATTAGTAGTTTTGAAAATAATTTTGTACCTAGATCTTCCCCTTTCATCAAATTTTTATCAAGAAATCATCAACAAAAAAGCAGGCAGCGAAACATCGTCCGTATAATTGTGTGACGGAAACCATCTATCGTCTCGTTCAGCTGCAGATAATAATTTACCATGCTACAATGCTGAAACCAGCCGAGTCCGTGTCCTCGTCTATGTTTGAGCACCTATATGAGGCTGCCTGCATGGATCTCCCTCGACGTACGACGGCGATTACGCGAACGCGATTACGCGGTATCCGAGAATGGTGTCTCTGTGCGTATATGTCGTTAGGATAAATTAGCCGTGGCAATTAGTTTCGGAATCAACTTCGCCGGGTGGTTGGCGCCACCATCTTGATTGCGCCCGGGGCAGAACCTTTAAAGACAGTAGCCAGTACTGTTTGCCGAAAGGCCCGCGCCGTTCGCGCGGCCTAATTAGCGATGCCCACCGAGATATCGCCGACGTACGCTAATAATACCGAGCATAAATATTCCGAATTTTTTCGTCTGCTGGCCGTCTACGCCTTTTCATTCGCGAGCAGTCGCCCGCGATATATCATTTTTGCATTAGTTAATTGCATCTTTGTTCCTCGGCTGTTCGAATATTCGCGGACCGAAAGACTTCGCGAGATCGGTCATCTATATGATCTAATGGAAATTCTAGGAAGCAAATTTATGGATCTAGAAGTCACGGTGTCGTAATTATTGTGAGTCATAAAAGAAAAATCACGCATAAACATAGAAGAGATAAAACGTCAAATTACGATAACATAAAGATATAATTAAGTGACACATTTAGAGACAGTAAATCGCTATGGAAACTTTTAGCGAGCGTGAATAAACTAGAATATCAAATATGCACATCATTACGCTTGCACGAATCGTATTTACGATAGCTGGCATATTATTTGCAAAAATTTACACTTTTGAAACTGTATTGCGATTATCAACAGCTCCGCTTTATCTGCACGAAGGTTATAATTATGTGCAAATATGCATATATAGTCTCAAATTTATAATCAATTTTATCTTATCTTTCTCATGATGCAATTGAAGTTAAACATCCTTATAGGAATATATCATGTGCCATTTATAGCATGCGATTAGACTGCTCTTTGCGAAGTAATTTTTATGAGTTGTTTAAAATTAACAAACGATACGATAGTAAAATCTTTCCAGAAGTCAGCGCAAATAAACTTCACTGGTAGAACTGCTTGTTAGAGGATTCCTCGTAAAACTATGATATCTTTAACAGGTTTTTGAATTAAAATATCTAACGAGCTCGTCGTAAAGAATCCCACGCTGGAATATTTTCCAGAAGTGAATGGTACATGCCTGAATTTTAATCGCACAATTAGTCGCCAGTGATTATTGCCCGCTTCCTCGCTTCGACCATTGCTTCAGGAAAGTCAGATAATGTCAGATCGTATCACACGAGCTACCGTGTAGCCTGGTAGATTTTGTTTCACATCTGATATCTCAATAATTAAACTCTATATTAAATTTCAGTTGTAATAATAGAAACAAAGCTTAAGACGTAGCGCACCAGACATAAATGCTCATAAATTCTTACATAAAAATGCAGTTTCATTGGATTTATAATTTAAACTCTTTGCGTCAGAATACGTTGTTTTTTTCCTATCGATATCGATTAACATATCGAATGTTTTGCAAATAGCAACGATCTTACATTTTTTATGCGCATGTCTACGGTGCCTATTTACGATTTCGAAAGAGCCCATCCCAAGTTCGAATGTCGGGTCAAGATCTTTGTGTGATTGACTTTGAAATAAAGAATTATGTCGAATGCTTCACCATAATTTCGATTTAAATTGAACTCGTTCATTTCTATTAGCATTTCTCATCCATGCTGAATACGTTTAACAAATACTTTAATAGTATGATGGAATTTTACCAAGTATTTTATATTAATTAGAGTTCTCGTATTAACAATTATTTATATTCTCTAAAAAGAGATATGCCATATTTACGATAAATATATTAATTAAGGCAAGTTATCATCTTTTTATATTTATCTTAAAACTTCCAAAATGTGATTAATAATGTTTGTTGTGGTCAAAACTTCAATTTCAGAGAAGATTCGTACAAGTAATTCTCCATAGAAATTGCGTCATGTGTGTAATATTTTGTAACAAAGAAGTGTTGATGTGGCACAAATTGTCAATAATTAATAATCAATAATTAATAATCAATAATTAATAATCGATAATTGCTAAATACAAAGTAGAGTGATTGTAACATCATAAGTAAACTGTTTAATTGAGTCAATGTAAAGCATGAGCGATATGTCAGTATATATATCGATATTGATATTGAGCGACACAACAGTTAATTATATTTAAAATATCATCTACCGCTTTAACACGTTCTGACCCGGCGATACGTAAATATGCATCGCGTGTGTAAAACACTGATATACATATCAGTGCGATACGGGGACCTAACGACCCAAGGAATTCAAGAACTAAAGAATCTAAACCCTATTTTGTACATGAATTTTGTACATTTAATCCATATGTTTATTTCAGTTCTCCACTTCGTGTGTAATCGTAGCTTATAAATACATAAAATTATCGCGTATCTCTATTTAACCACAGACTTGCTGACAAATTTTAAGTTAATTTCTTTAGATTTCAATAAAAAAAATTATCATCTGTGATAACCCTAAAATTATAATACTGATTAAAAATCTATTAATTTATCGCCAAGAAATAAAATTATAAGAAAAATAACGATTTAAATGTTTTGACGATAAAAATAAAATTTATTTTTACGGAGATAAATATGTTTAAAATTAATGAAAAATAGTAAAATCTTGTTTGCAAGCTCTCATAATTCTATTAATTAAACTTTCAATTTTCAATGTCTATTGGATGTAATCGTAACTTTCCGATAAAGTCTAAGCCGACATAAGAAAAGAAAACGATTGCATAACAAATTAAAGTGCGGAGAATCAATGGCTGCAAGAAAATGCAGCTGTTTCAAGACGTTATCTGTACCGACATATCGCTTTGCATAAAAAAGGGCTTCCTACTAACATATTCTAATTTTATTAAATAACAAACGATAGTCACCAGAAATATGCGATTGCAAGCCATCAATATTCCCGCACTGCGACACTGTGTTTTTATCGCATTAAACGCTCATTTAAATGCCGAGCCTGCCTACATAACACCGAGTGAATCGTCGTCGTCGTCGTCGTCGTCGTCGCCGCTGTTGCCGACCGTTAACTGTAATGATTTAATTAGCGTACCTTTTCCGTAGAAAGCGGCGTTTCGCCGCCGCGGTCCGATCGCGCCTACCGGCCGCGAGCCGGATCGTGTTTTTCGATCCAATTATCGACATTACGGCGCGATTGAAATTATCTGTTGTTGAATTAATGCGCGCGTCCCGCTTTTCGAAGGAGGCGGCGGAGAGGCGGAGTGAGCTTTAATGAGCGATTAACCCGGCGTTACGCAACGAAATTAATTATCTGCCGATAAATGCCTTCCACGGAGGGTGTATTAATGATCGCGATAAAGCCGCGTGGCAGAAAACACGCGATGGTACAGATTGCAGATTATTTCGGGCCGCTAAACAAACGGGCCCGCCGAATATTAGGCCGTCGCTTCGCGATGCCCATTGGGCTCAAAATGCGGAAGTAGATAAGCGAGACATATTATAATCGGTAAATGAATTGGATATCTTGATATTATTTATTCAGTTTGCACTCGCCTACAAATAACGTCTTTTTATATTTTATAATAGATGTTAGCAAGTTTTAATTTATGCATGAATGCCTTTCCTCTAAAGTCACTTTAAATAATCACTCTCTTGTAAAGAAGTTTTGAAAACATTTTCTGGAAAAACATGTGTACAGACGTATATATAATTAGGCCTCTATTAATATAGATTAGCGATGTAGAATCTCTCTCCAAACAAAATTAAAAGTTCTGTGTAAATACAACAATGCTGTCGACTTCGTTACGAAACGCGATATAATTCGACGCCACAGAAAACAGCACGTGTTAATTATACAAACGCGTTCATAATTGTGGAAACGCCAAATCGCTAATTAACTTCTCAGACGCGGAACAAATCATGTAGCACAATAAACGCGAGAATAAACGTAATCTCACTTTAAATAAGAAAGCTGAGGC